GCGGTTCAAACTGGGCCCAGGATCTTCTCAAGAGCAGCTTCAGCAGGAGGGATGTGAAGGTAAATAGGAACCGCAAGCGTGGACTGCTCCTTATATCTCGTTGGTGGTCAGGAGAAGAGGCTGGGGTGATTTGGGTGGTTATACATGATCGATAATCAAGTTTATTAAATTGAGGATATTCTGGGTACATTGGTAAACAGAAAGGGAAATGGAGAGAAGAGGACAGAGGATGTGGTGAGAAGATGGGAAAAGGCTTGTTTGACTCATTTGTGTGCGTGTGTGCTCAGTCACTCAGTCACCTCCGACTTGCTGCAACCCTTCGGACTGTAGCCCACCAGGCTCCTCTGTCCATGGGATTTTTCATGCAGGAATACTGGAGCAGGTTGCCATTTCCTCCCCCAGGGGACATCAGGGATCAAATCCATGTTTCCTGCATTGCAGGTTGATTCTTTACCACTGAGTCATTGGAGAAGCCCGTTTGACTAGTTTAATCTGTGATAAAAGCTCAGAAGACAGAAGATGGAGAAGATAGCAGCCAGACACCCAGCACCCCGCATGCTGTGGGCACCCACATCTGAACACACGGGGCAGCCACCTCAGTCCTGAGAGTGGCCTCGGTGGCCACGTCCTGCACACTGACTGGCGTGGCTGCCCCCGTGCTTGCTGTGGGGTTCATCACCACTGTGGCATCCACCAGGCACGCTCTGCTGGGAACTTCATGGTCCTGTTTCCCTGAACATGCTTCTCATCCCGGAGCCCGTAGAGCCTGGCCCGGCCGCCTGCAGAGCACCCGGCGCCCATCCCGATGAGTCGCTCCTTTGTAAGGAGAACCCCGTCCCACTCTTCTCAGCTGCATTCGGGATGGACATTTTCAAACCTCTTTCTCTCACCCATGACATTTATATCCTACAATCAGCCACAACCTCATACAAAATCATCACCACAGTCCAGTCACCACTCATTCAGACCACTGCAAAGCTGTGCTGCCTCAGATACACGTCTCCCTCTGAGGAAGACGACATTTTCCTCCCAACAGGTGGGCCCAGGTGAGGACTGAGAGTAGGATTTTGTGGAATCACTGCCGTTGTTACTTCCTACTGCCACAGTGTGCTGCCCCCTGGAGCGGGAGTGGGCACAGGACACCAGAGAACAACAAAGGAGAGGATGTTTGTGAGAGTACGGTGGGCACGCGGGTGGAGGGGCGCCCGGCAGGCCGAGGCGGCGCCGTGTGGAGGGGAGGTGACACCGAGGACAAGCCCTTGGTGTGTGGAGGCTTCTGAGGGCGGGCCAGCTGCTGGCGCCTGGTGGTCAAGTGGGGACAGGCGTGGCAACCTTAGGAAGTGGGGCCAGAGGGCTGGCAGGGAACAGCGGGGACCGGACCCAGAGCCACATCACCGGCAAGTGGGAGGGGCTTGGAGGCAGTGGGAGGGGCTTGGAGGGAGTGGGAGGGGCTTGGAGGGAGCGGGAGGGGCTTGGAGGGAGCGGAAGTGGACAGGGGGGCAAAGTCCACAACAGCAGTCAACCAGGGTGCTCCAGCCCAGGATCACACAAGTGACACCCGTAAGGGTGAGGAGGAGAGGCACAGAGAGGCTTGAAACACTCAGAAAGGAAAGTGAAACAAGAAAGAGAAACAAGAGTGTTAGGAACACACAGGAGGAAACAAAGAGTCAAAAGTGATCTAGCCCTGGCCTGTGCAGTAGACATAAAACTCAAAGCATAAAGCTGATTAGATAGAAGAGGCAGGGTTGCAGCTGAATTATTTTGAAGATAACATGAGAAATCAGGCAAAAGAAACTTTCAATCCAAATCCCTCCCAGGAGAGTATGAGCCTTTCTTGACCTGATGCTGGGGAGCTGTGGAGGAAGAAGACAGGTCGCGAAAGCCCGGCTGCTTTGGTCCATGGGGGTATGGCACAGCCAGGGCTTTGCTCCCCAGGAGAGCCAGAGCAGCCCCACAAAATTGCATCCCAGGCAGAGCTCCCACGTTAATCCTTCTCTCTACCCAACTTCCAACACCTCTGTCTCACCCTTCAGGTGCCTGTCCTTGGCCAAACCAGTGAGACAAGTGATGTCTGTGCAGCCTCCTGAAGGCCCCTATTGGCTCCGAGTCGTTCAGGTAGGTGTCACCTCAGACGTCACCTGCCCAGGGCAGCCTCGCCCTCACCCAGTGCCTGCACTCATGCCCCCTGCAGTGACCCTGCTTACCTGGTGGTGGGCTCAGTCAGCACCCCCAGCAGGCAGCCAGCTCCACAAAGACCACACCACCTGGCACAGATGGACCAACGCCCGCTCGCTGGGGCCACCCCTCTCCCCATGAGGTCTAGTCTATTGCTGTTTAGTCGCGGAGTCATGTCCCACTCTTTTGCAACCTCATGGACTGTAGCCCACCAGGTTCCTCCCTCCATTGGATTTCCCAGGCAAGATTACTGGAATAGGTTGCTATTTCCTACTCCAGGAGAGCTTACTGACCCAGAGATCAAACCTGAGTCTCCTGCATTGGCAGACAGATTCTTTACCACTGAGACACCAGTGAAGCCCCGAAGTCTAGTCTAATAAAGTAAAAATGAGCACAGCTGAGCTCCCATGATTATCACTAAGAATGCGGTTTCCCCAGATCTGAAAGAGACACGTGCACCCCAATGTTCATCACAGCACTGTTTATAATAGCCAGGACATGGAAGCAACCTAGATGCCCATCAGCAGACAAATGGATGAGGAAGCTGTGGTACATATACACCATGGAATATTACTCAGCCATTAAAAAGAATTCATTTGAATCAGTTCTAATGAGATGGATGAAACTGGAGCCCATTATACAGAGCGAAGTAAGCCAGAAAGATAAAGACCATTACAGTATACTAACACATATATATGGAATTTAGAAAGATGGTAACGATAACCCTATGTGCAAAACAGAAAAAGAGACTCAGATGTATAGAACAGACTTGTGGACTCTATGGGAGAAGGCGAGGGTGGGATGTTTCAAGAGAACAGCATCGAAACACGTATATTATCTAGGGTGAAACAGATCACCAGCCCAGGTTGGGTGCATGAGACAAGTGCTCGGGCCAGGTGCACTGGGAAGACCCAGAGGGATTGGGTGGAGAGGGAGGTGGGAGGGGGGACCGGGATGGGGAATGCATGTAAATCCATGGCTAATTCATTTCAATGTATGACAAAAACCACTACAGTGATGTAAAGTAATTAGCCTCCAACTAATAAAAATAAATGAAAAAAAAAATAAAAAAAAAAGAATGCGGTTTTCCTCTTCCCTGTTATAACCAAAACAGTGGAAAATTTTTCCTCCTCCAAGGAAGATTTAGAGTTCAAGCAGAGATGACTGAGGAAATGATGGGGTGGGTGGGGGTGGGGTCATTCACTGCAGGGATGCCTGGATCCACAGCCCCCTTAATCCATTCTCCCAGGCTGCAGGCACTCTGAGCCTGGAGCGTGGCCCTGCAGTGCCACTACCAGGACACCCATGGAACTGCTCCAGGCCTGCACCCTCAGATGGTCCCAAAGCAGGGGCATTCCTGAACTTCTGGCAGAGAAAAAACAGGCGCAAATCTGTGAGGGTCTTGGAGACCAGTGACTCTTCTGTCGGGGTACTTGACCAGGAGGTTAAGCCAAAAATATGGTTTTAATTCCAGGTCTGTTTATAATCTGTGTCCTTGAAAGTTCCCCAACCGGCTCTAGCACACCATCTCCAGGTGTGAAGAGAAGTAACACCATCAACCCCCTCAGAGGATGATGCAGAGAGAACCAGACACATGGACAGAATTCCAAAACGGAGCATGAAGTAAAAAATGTGAGTGCCCTGGACCCACCTCCAGTAAAGCCCTACACAGGCTTAGTCACCCAATACAAGAAATACAATCAAATCTGAGGCCTGAAAATGGGGTATTTCCATTAGGCAGCCAAAAAATCCATTTTATATTGTATGCTACAATTACAGGTGCTTGAAAAATTAGCACTAAAAAAAAAAGCCTTTTGCTTAGTGATGATCCTTCCTAATAATTCAAGTTTATATTTTGGCTGACTAAAAAAGGGGTATCAAGAGAATTCCAAAATAAATTCCACAAAGATAATGTGTAAGAAAAAAAGCAAATATCCCAATTGAGAAATAGGCTATTACATAAGACACATAATTGCATAATTTATTTAAGAAATAAAATGGTAGATATAAAAAATGAAAAATCTCTTAGTAATTAGAGAAATTCAAAACAAAATAACATTTCACCATCAAAGAGGCATTAAAACAAAGAAAACCAATAATAATTGAAGTTGATTCACTGGAGGGAAAATAAATTTGTACACTTTCTGGAGGGCAATTTGCCAATATTTATATAAATCCTTAAAAACCAGTAAGATTTTCTGACAAACAATACAACTTATGGGAATTTATCTTATAGAAATAATTAAAGACAGAAGTAAAGAGTTGGCTGCAAGCATCGTCTGTAAAAGAAAATTTGGAAAGAATCTGACATCTATCATGAGGGATTTATTAAATAAAACAGCTGCATCTGCTCAGCAGATTACTATGCAGCCTCTACAAAGTGTGTCTAGTATCTGTATAGTCCTTAAGATGTTACTAAAATATTGCCCAGGAAAAAAAGCCAGGTAATTACAACAAAAAAATATATTTATGATCCAATTTGGCAACTACACATTTACTTAAACACACATCTACATATATATATGTATATATATGCATAGGTGGAAAGATGATTGTGGCTGTCTGAGCAGCTAAGACAGGGGATATTTCTACATTTTTTTCCTTTATTTTTATTTTCTGAGGTTGCTACAATGGAATGTATTGCTTAGGCAATATGAGAAAAACAAGAGTATTTAATATTAAATTAAAATTTAAAAAAGAAGAAAGTAAAATTCCAAAATAAACTTCTGTGTGTGGAAGCAGGAAGGACATGGAACCCCAGGCCTAGAATCTTCTCACCAAGCATCCACCTGCACAGTAGGGGTCACTATCCCCGCCCGGAGCAGTCACCCGGCTGACGCCAACCACGTCTCAATGCTCCAACGTGCCCAGCTCCACCCAAAGGTGCAGGAGGGCACCTCCTCGGGAGGAGGGCAGAAAAGCCGTGTGTCAAGAACATGCCACATGCTGCTTGAAGAACATAAAAGGCAAAGAGATTTAAATTGGGCTTCATTATATAACCATGTACCTGAGGTGAAAAAAACAAGTCCTACATAATTCCTAGCGACTTCCCAGGTAGCACAATGGGTAAGAATCCGCCTGCCAACGAAAGAGACATAGGAGACGTGGGTTCGATCTCTGGGCTGGGAAGAGCCCCTGGAGTAGGAAATAACAACCCACTTCAGTACGCTTGCCTGGAAAAATCCATGGACAGAGGAGCCTGGCTGGCTACAGTCCATAGGGTTGTAAAGAGTCTGACATGACTAAGCAACTGAGCACATAGTTCCTAGCGGGAAGAGGGGACCTTAAACCACTGGACTAACAAAGAACCACATTTGGAACAGCCACAAGGGAGATCTGGCAATTTTTATTCAACTCACCAAGATCTATTTTCAGGATGCTATTGTAACGTTTACTGCATTAAAAAAATACGTTAAAAAATATTCGGTGTGAAAAAATAACTGTAAAAGGCAATACATATTATATCAACCCCAAAGGATTTTGCACATATTTCAATGCTGTGAATTCAAGCATCTGAAGCCTGACATCCTCCAGCTCGCCCGGGCCCGGGGCCATGGTGGCATGTCCTGGCGCAGCTTAGACAGCATATCTTTTCTCTCCCTCGTGCTTGGCCTTGTGGTACTTCACATAGTCACTATGCAGCTCCTTGAAGACGTCTCTCACCCCCTGCTGCAGTGAGGCCCGCAGGAACTGGATGTCAGACTCAATGCACAGGTCCAGGATGAGGTAGATACCCTCTTGCAGGAGGACTTTCACCGCTGGATACAAAGTGACCTGGGATGAGGAGATACACTTGTCTGTGAGAGTGAACACGCAGATGCCAGGCCCTAGAATACCTGATAAGGGAGTCCAACTTTGGCCGCCAATTTGAGGAAAGATGCTCCTTTTAAAATGTCATTTAAAAAATAAATAAATAAATAAATAAAATGTCATTTTGCAGGTAACTTAATTGAATATTCATACCTTAAAAGTTTTTATTTGGAGGAAATAGAGGTCAACTCAAGCCAACAAAAACCTGGAGTAAAACATCATGAAAGCACAGAGGTAGCTTTGCTATTCAGTAAATGATGCTTCTGTGCTTACCAGGGGTGTTTAAAAACTGGAAGCTTTAGATTTAAAAATCGTATAGTAACCATCACCTTACGGGTCACATTCATCCATGTGGCCAGTCTCACTGGAAGCTATCCTACCTGTGGGATGAGGGCAGCAAAGTCACCACCTTCCCCAGAGCAGGGCAGGCAGGCAGCATTCTCCAAGCAGATCCCTGATAGATCTCGTCACAGGGCCCAACATCAGATGTGATTTCTAACTACCATTTAAAGAATCTGGGTTAACCAAAATCTGAGCCACAGCAGGAGAAGTGGGCAGTCCAGATCTGGGATGACCACATCTGCTACTGGCACAAACTTTCAGATCAGAGATTCAGACTGGTATCTGGACAAAAAGGCCAAGACAGCAGGTGCTGCTCACCCTGCCAGGGCCTCACAGGCTTCAGCTGGACCTGGGCTGCACAGAGTGCACACCGCAGCAGCTGCAACCAGAAGCAGCAGGAAGGTTCGGGCCAACAAGCCTGGGGGGTGGCTGGTTCTTTATTAGTGTCCTGATGACCTAGCAGCTCATGCCTCTCTGCAAACATGCACCTTCCAGCAAGGATACAGTTTATTAACTAGAGGCAGCATGATTCACCAAGGTAACCTCTGGGAGGCATAGTCCTAAAGAGGCGATTTGTTTCTACCACTAATGATGCTGTTCTTCACAGTTATGGTTATTTTCACATTATCGCTGAAAAAGCATTTGACAGATGATCACCTTAATTAAATTTTACTCTTTTATAGATGATAAGAACATTCAAGGACAGCAGGAGGAATGACTGGTTTGTGATTCCATACTAAGGTATTACGGAAGGAAAGAAAAAGTGAAACAGACAAACTGGAAACAGAAGTCCTTAGCCTCTCTAGCTGGGGTGAGAACTTGCTCACTCATTCACTGAATCATCACTCACTAAACAAATAATCCTCCTTCCAAACGCAAGAAGAGGTACAGTTATTTCCCCAGGGGCAGAACAGATATCTGAACTGAGTGCTGGAGTTCAGATGTCGCAATCCTTTTACCTGGCTGAGAAGGCAAAGCCCAGAGCATGGGGTGGGGTCGGGTGCGGGAACAGGAAGGCAGTAGGATAAGGACAACACAAGCACTGCACATCTTCACATTAGACAACTTATTTAGAAAACAAGGGGGGGAAGCCAGTTTCTACAACACTGGCCAATGAATGAGAACACTTCTAGGTAACTTTTAAAAGGACCCTAGGCCAGGTGAGTAATGCAAACAATTTACCCAAAGCTATCAATAAAGAGGGAAAACTGTACATCTCATCTATGGGTAAAAGAGAAGATAAAAGTGACGATAATTTCCCTGACACACACCCAGGGTAACACAGCACAGCTCTGCATGGAAGGAACAAGGTCTTCAGCAGTGGCTGCCTCTCCCTGACCGAGGCTGTCTCACTGTCCTCAGCCCCAATCACTGACACACCTTCACCGACAGCACCTGCCTCCAGAACGCGAGGAGAAGGCGAGCTACCCCTGCCATCCAGCCTGTAATTAAAACAACACATCTTCCTGGTCTCAAAAGATTTATGGTTCTCTCAGTAGAAGCTGCTAATGCACATGAAATACTTTCTTCATTACCAATATTAAAAACAAATAAAAGGTAAAATGTAGACTGTCCTGCCAACGGATTTTGGGACACAACTCCCTGAGATAATTCCCAAAGCCTCTGGTCTTCAAGATTAAAAATCAAAAAATACTGATAAGCATAAATTAGACATGTATAATGAGGCTGGGATGTGAAAGACTTTTCATACAGTAAATCTCGGGATGATAATCAGTGACTTCACGCTTCAAATTACAGACTCCCCTCTTGTCCTTAGGTAAGTGATACTGTGGTGTCTCCTTCTGTTCTTCAGCTCATGCTCCAACAAAATCTCTCACATTAATGACTGCTTGGGAAATACCAAGAGTCTATAAAAATGCTAAATAACTGCAAGGAAACCAAACTCCAAGCCCACATCTCATTCAAAGGATGACTTGAAGGGGCTCTTCCGTGCAGCTCTGGCTCCCATACACCTGCCTCCCACCCACCCACCCACCTGCCCACATGATGGGCATCTCTGCTGACAGAGGGAGCAGGGTCGGGGCTGTGGAAATGCCATGAAACAGGGTCCGGACGTATGCATACATGCATACATGCCAGGGTTCTGAGGAATCCCATTCAGATGACCCTCCTTTGAGGAAACAGTAACTCCTCTAATGTAACACTTTACCAGCGGCTCACCACCAGTCTTACAAGATTCACAATAGGATATTCTATCGGGAGCAAGATATCCTACACAAGTAGACAGATACACACCTGAACATACTGTACTTTAAGCCTCTGACTTTCCATTATAACAAGTAAGACATGAAGTCTTATAAGGAACTTAATACACAGGTCACAGGGGGCCTTGTGGAATTACAAAAATAGCACACTGACACGCCAAAGTGAGATCACTGTTGAAGAATGAATGAATTATCCAGAAGCCCAAAGTCAGATGATCTGGGACTACAGCCTTTAATTGGACTGAACAAGTCTACCAGGATCTTCCCCAGGTCACCTATTGGAGTGAGAGCAGCTGAGTCACATGCACAATGAACCCTTGAGCCCTCTGCTGCTGAGGGACCCCAGGACCTCTTTCTATCTCCTGCTCTAGGACTTGGGTCCCTCCTTTCCTCTCTCTCATGACCCAAGAGACCAGGCACAACAGGCCCAGGGTTTGCGCTGGAGCAAGGAGAGACCCAAGGGTGGCTGCAGGAGCCCGCGAGCCCCGCGCCGCCAGCCTCTGCGTCTGTGTGGCTGTCTCAGTGGCCCTGCAGGGCTGCTGCAGTCGCGGGGCAGCTGCCCCCAGGGAGGACCGCCAGGAGGCCTGTGATCACGGGTGTGAGCAGAAGCCCTCGGGGCAGGCAGCCCGGCCTACCTTCTGTGCCTCCACCACATACTGGGCCACCATGAAGGGGGAGAACACCCGGAACTCCTCTGCCCGCGCCGCCACGTGGCTGTACATCCGCTCCAGGAGGCGGGCACACTCCAGCACCACCGGCAGGTCCTCTGCGCTTCCTGTGGGGGCAGCGTTCCCAAACCGATTAATTCAGAGACCATGCATCTTAACTCTTCAATTTTACGCTTTCAACATGCCCCAGTTATTCAAACCTTCTGTTTCTGTTTTGTTTGTTTTCCTAGACTCTTTAACTGGCTCAATTTGAAGACAGAATTAGGGGGAGACAATGCATCCAAATATTTATCTATATTACAAAGAGAAGAACACTTACAATACTCAAGAGTCCACGATTGTTTTTTTAAGAGGTGAACTAGAATAACCAAGATTTCAGGATGAATCTAGGATTGCTATTGTATTTAAAAAGGAGACGGATATCTAAAAGAAAAATTTAAATGGGGGAAAAAAAGAAAAACAATCTCTAAAAAAAGGCTTTTGATATCAAATGGTTCTGAAGATAAGATGGCCTAATTGTGTCTTTGTCTCGTTAAGTTTCAAAAGTTGTCTAGGATTTTTCTTTCATAGTCAAATATATATATATATGACTCAACTAACATTACTAGATCTACCCAGTTTCCCAGATTTATTTCAGATTCCTAGTTCTTCCCACCTTAGAGTTCCAGGATCACCCAGGCCTTAACAAACTCCTCCTCGGAATTCTAACAGTCTGAAATGTACCACAACCCAGGGTATACATGCCCCCCCCAAGTCTGTCACAGCAGGGTGGGCCGGGTACCCCGGCACAGCAGAGCAACCTCCCTGGTTTTCCCTCAGCATCGTAATACACTGTTTTTATTAAATTCTAGAAAATGCAAACAAGCCTATAATGACAAAAAGCACATTGGTTGTTGCCAGGGTCTGGGGCTGGACCCCAAGAGGGCTCTTCTGTGGATGAAGCAAATGCTGTTTTAACTGTCATGGTGTTTCCTGCATGAATTTATCCATCAAAACTCACTGAAGTATATACTTCAAACGGATGCAGCTTCTCACACATACGTTATGCAACAATAAGCTTAATTTTTGGAATGCACAATGCCTTTTTTTAGACACTGAACATACACACAGATATCTTACACATAAGCAATTCTTCTCGGTGAACGCTACTTTATGGAAGTGCATCAGCGGTTA